AGGAATAGTCTGCCGCTGGCCAGCCCGAACCACGGGGACTGTAGAGTTAGGGCTCCCTCTGTCGACCTGAGGCGTGGTAGCTGTCAAGGTCATTCCTTGCTGAGAGGGATCAGGGTGTGTGTGTGTTGGTGGGGGGCCGAGGACACAGCTGGGCCAGGAGACCATTCTCTCCCTGCCACCCTCTGCCTCCACCTCACCTCTGGCCTCATCCTACAGAGAGACTTGCTCTGCCTCCAGTCCCCTCCCCCTGGGAAGCTCCAGTCTCCTCAAGGCCAGCTGGACAGTCCTCCCACATTGCTTGCCTGCCTCCCCATCAGGCTGGGATGAGAGAGGAGGCAAAATCTTCCCCCGTCACCTGGGCACCAGGTGCCTGTCAGCCCAGGCCCAGCAGGCTGCTGACAAGATTAGCATACCTTTAGGCTCAGGAGGGCCTTGAGGCCTTGAGAGTGGCACTTGCGTCCTACAGCAGGAGGCTGGGGCTCCTGCCCCTCTGAGGCAGATGGTCCCAGGCCCCAGACACCTAGTCCTCAGCTTCTTTCCCCAGCAAGGTCAGTGGTGCCAGATCCTGACTGGACTCTGGCCCTGCCGCCCACTCCCTCCCCAGGGCCCGTGCAATACGCTGCTATGCCTGCTCTGCTGTCTCTCTCCCGTTCTCTCTCCAGGTCTCACTCCAGTGCCCCTTGCCCCGCCCCATGCACAAACCTGCTGGGGATGGGGACGGGGGCACCAGGGACGCGCCCCCTACGCCGTTTACACATTAACTCTTGGAAAGGCTGACTTGGGCAGCTGGGCGCCTAAGGAGGAGGGAAAGTTGGGGAAGAACTGGGCCAGGGGAATCAAAGCCAGGACGGAGTCTAGAAGCGAAGCTTTCTCATCAGAGTTTGGAAGCCACATCCTCCTAGCTCTGAGTCCTGGACCCTTTCTCTCCCGGAGTGAGTGCAGAGCCTCTGCTCCCAGCATGCGCCGCCACACCAGCCTCTCCCCCAAACACTGACCCGGCCATTGCATCTGGTCACTCCCTTCTCAAAGCCCCTCCTTATCTCCTGCCTGCCACAGCATAAAGACCAAACTCTCCATAATGTGACCCAACCATTTCCTGCTACTTCTCTACAAACGTTCTCAGTTCTAGACAAACGGATCGACTTCCCCGGAACACACCTTGCACTGTCCTGCCTTCCCCCGAAGGTCTTAAAGACCATGCAACTCCACCCCTTCCTAGTGTTCCGCCCCCCCCCCCCCCCCCCCGCCCCCGTGCACTCTCCTACCTCAGAATCCACGGTGCCTGGCTGGGGAGTGGAAAATGTCCGACTTGAGGTGTTGAAGACAGGCGAGAATCTAGACTGTAATTCTCACTAGCTGTGGCTGTGGGTGAGTTAACATCTCTGAGCTTGAGCTCACCCACATATGACGTGGGAATAATCTTACCCCTAAATAAGGTGTTAGATGTGACACACCTTGTGTGCTCCTGGCACACCTCTGGAGCTCTGTATACATCAGTGTCCTTATTTCCAATACCTCTTATCTCCTCTTTCACTTTTTTGGGATGTGCCAAACTCTGCTTTGCTATTGTAGGTGTGAGAGAGAGATTTCCAAAAGCCCTACAAGAGAACTGCCTTTGTATGGGTTTATCCCTCAATTAAATTTCAAGTGTCTTGAGAGCCTGACAGGGGATGACACAATATCTTGACCACCTTTTTTACTAACTGAAGGGCTAGCACAGAGCTTGTACATTGTAGGGAATAAATAAATATTTGGATTAACTGCTTAGGGCCCCTCCCTGCCCGAGTCCACTGAAGGACAGAGGACGGAGGCAGGACGGGGCTTTTCATCCTGTCTCCACTTTGAGGGACTGCAGGGGCTGGGCCAATGGCTTCCTTCTGGGCCTTTGGTTGGTTGATTCTTTCAGGAAATACTCACTCTGTGCAATGTGCTGTCCTGGGTACCATGGGGGAGGCAAAGATGGACTAATTCTACATCCGAGGCACTTGCATCCAACAGGACTGTGACACAAGCATAAACAAGCACAGTCTGGACAAGCAGTGCCAAAGGACAAGGGCAAGTCAATGGCGGAGGACCAGCGGCAGTGGAGACTGCCACTCACCTTGGGAGAGGGAGGAGAGTCCACAGAGCAGGGTTGATGGCTGTGGTCTGGACCTGCGGGCATTCTGCAGAAGGGCTTGCCAGGCAGTGGGAACAGCAGGAATAAGGATGGGCATGGCATGCCTGTTGGATGGCCAGGGCTGCAGGCTTGCCAGCGTTCTTGAAGTGGAGTTGCAGGGGTGGGGCTGGGCAGGGGGCCTGGGCAGGGGTGGTGCAGGAGTCTTGAAAACCATGCTGAGGAGTTTGCTAGTGCTCACGTGATACGGGCAGGGCAGGGCTGTGGTTTCTGGTAGGGTCAGGTAAGCTGAGCAAATGGTGGACATCCTGGGGGGGGGCGCGTGTCAGGAGGCGGAGAGGGCATTTGGAAAGCTACTGCAGTAACTGAGACAGATCCCAGTGAGGTCTGTCACATGCAGGGGGGTAATGGTTGAGATGGTGGGCTGCTCCGAGACAGCATGAAGACAGGAGAGAAGAGAACGGCAGAAATCTTAGGGAACCTTTCCAAGAAGAACCTGGAAAGAGAGGAGTCCAAGTGGCTAGTGAACAGAGAAAAGACAGCCCGTGGCAGGCTGAGGGAGGGAAGAGCTTCAGAAAGGGGTGGTCCTCTGAGGTGTCCAGGGCTGTGAGGCTGATGACACTGAGGTCTGAGGCAGGCTTTTGGCTTGGTGACTGGGAGGTCACTGGCCATTGGAGTCTGAGGGACAGGGTTGAATAGAGTGACATAAGTAGAAGCCAGCTTGTGAGGATTACAAAGGGGGTGGATTTCCCCTCTGACTCCCTCTTTGGCGCCCCTCTGCCTCATCCAGCTGTTTGGAGGGAAGGACAGAGGAGGGGAAATCAGAGGAGGGGCTATTCTTAGCTAGAGTTCTTGGTAATCCTAAAAAGTCACAGGATTCGAGGCACACTGCTGCCGTCTCCCTCCACCTTGTCACATCCTCCCTGAAATGGCTGCATTCATGATGCCCTGGTCTTTCCCCACTGTCACCACCACCACCTGCACACATGCTTAGCAGGTTAGGGCACAGAAACAACCAGGGCTGGGCGTCCGCAGTCCAGGGGAAGCCTTCCCACCACATCCACAGATACTTTGACTTCCACTCAGGGCCTGTTACTAGAGATCCATTCCTGTGGCTTCTTCCTTTTAGCATCTTTGAAATCACCACCAGTCCTGAGGGAATGAGCTGAACAGACTTCCCCAGGGTTATGAAGAGACACCCTGGGTATGGAGTCTGGACTCCGCCGAGGCACTGAAAGTTGCGGTGAGAAGGTTCAGAGAGCCGAGCCAGCGACCAAGGCCACAAGCAGGCGCCAGACGGCCAGGCATGGGGCTTGAGTGGGGCAAGGGCACTCTCCGAGATGGCAGGGGCCTCCAAAGCTGCCCTCCTCCCTCACCCTTCCCCATTCTCTGTCCCGCCCTACCAGGTCTCACCTCAAAAAGCAAGAAAGGAAACAGTGAGGGCTTTCTGGAGCCGGCCCCCAGAGGCCTGTCTGTGCTGGGGAGGTCACAGAAAGGGAGGGAGGGGCCGGAGAAAGGCAGAGAAGAAAGAGGAGGCCAGACAAAGGGCCCCGTCCACCTTTGAAGCTGTCTCTAACCCGAGTCAGGGAGGGGTGGGGGTGGGCTGAGAGCCCAGCTGGGGGGAGGCAGTCTAGAGTTTTAAAGAATGTCTCAAATTCCTGCGGAAATCAGAGGGATTGTAAGAGCTCCCCCTCCCCAACACACCTCCTTCTCAGCCCCCCAGTCCAGTCCTTCACACCTGGGGGCCCCAACCCTTTGTCCTCAGGTAATTGCTGGGCCTTGCCCCTGGGCTTCAAATCCCATTGAACTCGCCAGTTATCAGCTGTGGCTCCAGACCACCCTCCCTACACACCCCCCAGAAAACGACCCCCACCCCGGCCGGGCCCCCTCACCCCCAGTCTTCACCAGGATTAAGGGTCTTTGTGATTGGAGGGGAGAGAAAAAAGCAACCTGGTGAAAAGCAATTATGACAAGCTGGAGGGAGAATGTCCTGGGGCGTGGGGGACCTCCCTCCTGGCTGCTGCCCTCGAATTGTCTGGAGTTGGGGGTGTCAGACCCGACTCCAGCCCTCACCAAGGGAGAGGTGAGGACCTCCCCACCCCTATCAGTCTGGGCCACTGCTCCACTCACCTCCCACTGTGACTAAACCAGGCGACTCCACACTCCCTATTCTTAACTTGTTTCTAGGCCATTCTCGGGAGAAGCGGTGTCTTTCATTCTTTTTCTTCCTTCTCCATAATCCCCTTCCCCATCATATTCTCAAAAGAAGAGAGAGGGGAAACTGAGGCTGGGGGTCCATCCGCAGAAGAGAGGGCTCAGTGAATGTATGTCCCCTGACCGGCATACTGCGGGGGCCTGCTAGGAAGGGCCTCCCCCTTGACCCGATTAAAAGCCAGCGCAAGAAGGAAAGAGGCCGCTCTTAAGGCCTTAGTTCCACCTCCCAAATACACACCTGGAGGCGGAGGCAAAGCTCCGAGAAGCTGGGAAGCTGGGGCGGCGGCCCCCATCCCCGGCAGCGCTCCCCTCTGGAGCGCCCCGGCCAGCCGCACGCCCCGCTCGTCCGCGCCCTCCCCACGCCGACCCTCCTCACCGGACGAAAGCGCGGTCCCGGCTGCAGGCCGCTCCGCCGCCCCGGGGCTCGGCTGGTCCGCGGCCCGACCGGGAGCGCGGGCCGCCGAGAAGGCCGGGAAACCCGAGGCGCGGAGGGAGGGGCCGGCCGCCCCGGCGCAGGTGCGCCTCTCGGCCCGCGGGCCCCGCTCCGCTGGCGGCCGCGCCCACCTGCCGCCGTCCGCCTCTCGGGGGGCGAGCCGGGCCCGGCGCGGTGTCGCAGGGGGACCCTGCACCCCCTTCAGATAGCCCGTTTGCAGGAAAACCGTTTTATTCTGGGGCTGGGAGCTGGGGGTGGGGGTGCAGGCCTGGGGAGCGGAATGTGAAGAATGGCCAGCCCTCTTTTTCCCTCCTGTTTTCCTGAAACAAAACCCAGAGTCCCCTCCCGGGGTCTGGCCCGGAGGAGCGCGGAGGCCTGGGCGGGCAGAGGGGGCCGGACGGGTCTGAGCAGAGCCGCCTCGGGCGGCGCCTGCGAGGCTGGACCCCGACCTCCGCACTGGTTTCAGGGCGCGAGCCCGGGGTCACCGCCCGGGGCCACTCAGCGTGGGCTCGGAGGCTGCCCCGAGGCGCCGGTCTGGTTTGCGGCAGTCCTGCCCCCCTCCAGCTGGGGGCCCTGGTGTTCAGGGTCCTCCTTGGGCTCTCTGGCTCCCGCCCTCCACCCCAGCCCAGTCTTTGGATTAGGAAGGGGAGGGGACAGGAAGGCTGGTGAGGGGCGCTGCCCCCAGGTGTCCCCGACTACGTCAGGGGCTGTGGCCTCCGAGTGCGCTTGGTCCGGCGCGTGGGGGCCGAGCCCACAAACTCGAACTGCTTCTGCCTCTCGGCATGGTTGGGGAAGGGCAGCTGGCCCTGGTAGAGCCGCTTGATGAAGTGGGCCTCTCGCTGGTTCTGGCGGCTGCGGGAGGCCTGGCGGGGCCGCCCCTGCCGCGTGAAGGCCATGAACCAGCCCTCACGCCGCGCATTCTGGAAGGCCGTGTAGTTGTTCTCCAGCACGATCTCCGTGAACACGCAGTCCTTGCTCTTCCCACTGGGCTGCGGGGAAGGAAGGAGAGGAGGGGAGTTCCCACCCACCCTGTGTGGTTATCTGCCTTTTGGGCCTATTTGGTAGGAACTGAGGAGGAAGTGACAGGGACTGTGAGCCCACAGACTCCTGCCTGTGAGATGGATGCCCTTGTTGGAGAGGCAAAGGTGGGAGAAAGGAACAAGCTTTGCTTGGGGTCAGGTCTGAACTTAAACACAGGGTTGTCATTTGGAAGTTTTACGCTTTGAACAAGGTATTTAGCCATGCTGAGCCTCAGTTTGCCGAGATGTAGCATAAAGATCAAGATAATTATGCAGTTCAGTGCACACGCTGCAGCCCGCCATACAGAGAAGGCTCCTCCGTCTGGGTGAGTGGTGTTGCCGTGTGGAGGGAAAGGAGGCAACAGTCTCTGATGAAAAGACAGGGCAGACGTTTACAGAACAATGATTATGTCAAGAGCCACATAGCCACCCCTTCGCTCTATAGTTGACCTTGACACTGTGCCCAGTTTTACAGAGAAGCCTGAGGCTTGACAAAAACAAGCAAATATTCGGTAAGAACAGCCAGAATCGGAAGCCAGACTTGGCCAGTGGCTAAGGAAATGGAATTCTCTCTACACAACAGCTGTGGAACCCCCCATTGTACTAGTAGTCTGTTACACTGGCAGGCAGTTAGACTGGTAGGTGGTTACACTAGAAGGTAGTTATACTAGTAGGCAGTTAGCACACATCTTGCTAGTTGGATCCTGTGGACCCCACGGACCTTGGGGGAGCCTCTGTCCTTGCGTGAATGCCCAACTCTCTACCCTGATCAGCCCTTAGCCCTCAACATGGGGGCTGCAACATGACGTTGGTGCTAACATTCTTACTCATTGAGGCTGCAGAAATACCCCATAAACGAGAGCCAAGGATCCTGGGACCAGCCAGTGTCCTCAGAGGGCTTACAGATCCACAGGGACTCCTTCAAATGGAGAAACCAGAGAGTGGCTGAGTGGTGGGGTGAGTGGAGAAGTCATGGTCCTGGTCCAGCCCAGCAGAGGGGAGCCAGATGCTGCTGGGGCCGCATGCCCCATGCCAGTGAGGCGGAGTCTCTCATCTACCCCCTGTCTTCCAGGCCTCACCTTCCCGATGAGCTTGCCCTTCTTGTTCATGCAGATGTACTTCTCGCTCTCAGCCCCCTTGATGCGCACCCGGCTTCCAAATGTGTCTGTCTCTACTATGAGCTTGGCTGTGGGGGAGGGGGAGAAAGACCTCCGTCTATCAGGGCTGCCAGCCCAGGGGTGTGGCAGAGGGGCCCCCAACCAGCCTGACCTCTGAACTTGGGTGAGGGGGTTTTGGGAGGCCCTCGTGGTCTTTCCTTCTAGAGGCTTCCCCCTGCTCAATCACTGTAGCCTCTGCCCTGACACAGGATCTTGGGATGGATCAGGGGTGTGGGTAGCCTCTAGTGAGGGCTGAGTCTCACCAAACTTGTTTCCGTCCTCAGCGGTGGCAGAGATGCGACGCCCGGTGACCTGCACGTGCTTGCCACTGGTCCGGCTGTAAAGCTGGTACTCACGGATCTGCCGCCTGCTCAGCTGGTCAGTCATGGCACCCTGGTCCCTCACGTACTGGTTAAAATTAGGAGACGGGTGATTCTCCCCCTTTGCGGTTACCAAGGGAAAAATAGTGTCAATTTGCTTTGGGTGACACCACCGCTGGTCCATGCAGGGGAGGGATGCAGAGGCAAGTGTGGTGGGGGCAGGCCATTTATCCTGCAAAGGAGAGGTACACGGTGCAGGGGGCATATGGCCATGACCTTCCTAGGCCAGTGGAGAGCCAGTCATAACCTCTTGACTCCCTGTCCACGCTGAAGCAGAGGACTGGTTGCTGTCCAGGCTTTGGGGACACTTGGTGACACAGTGCAGGACTGGAATCCTGACCCTGGGAGCTGGAAAGGACCTTCAAGGTTATGGCATGCAATCCCCTTGTTGAGTGTAGGAGGTGCACAGGGTGCCACAGCTAATCAGAAACAAGCCCTGCCCTCCCTTCAGGGTCGGAGCTTGTCCGCTCTCCAGAACTCCAGGGCCTTGGCTCATTAGCCAGGAGAACCAATTCCTCCTCGATCCTCCCCCAGCACATGCACACACACCTGCACACAGGCCCTGCACAGCAACTGGGCTGGTAGGGTCAGTGGAGAGCATCTGGGGGCCCTAAGACCCTTCTCTGTATGCTCCTGCAGGGCTCCGTCGGCATTACTTTACAGCATTTACTGCAGAACCCTGAACTCAGGCCCTGTCCCCTGCCTCTCCCCCTGGGGGCTCAGGGCTCTTAGAGGAGCCAGCCCCCATCCAGTGTCTCTCCCTCCTCCAGCGGGGAGGCGCCTCCTTAGCGGAGGGAGGTGGAGACAGCAGTGAGAGGCCCTATCAGTGGTGGCCCATTGGCTGCTCCCGCAAGGCCGCCTACCTGTGCCACAATGTAGCAGAGGCCCCTGGCCAGTCGGGGGCAATGCCACTGCCACCTGCTTCCCCGGAGGGGAGAGGGGCCGTTTCCATCCGTGCACTGTACAAAGGCAGGACAAGTACCTTCTCCAGGCCAGGCCTCTCCTTACCTGTTTGCCACACTGAAGGAGAGAGAAACAGACCACTTCCTGCCCTCTCTCCAGCAAGGTGCAAACCGGGATGACATTTCCCAGTTGCTGGTGACAGCCTCAGCTCTAGCACTAAAACATTTCTCTCTCCACCTGGATCCTGCTGGTCTGGGCCGGGACAGCTTTTCCCTGCCCCAAACCCCTAGTCCAATCGCAACCATCTGGACAGAGCTAGACTCAGAGCAGCATCTGTTAGGGGCCACTCTTTCCTGGAGGGAGGGGTGGGAAGTATCACCTTGGAGGAAGGGGGAGGTGAGGGAGCAGCTCCAGGCTGACAGTGTAACCTGCTCAGCGTTAACCCTTAACGTGTGTCACTGCTCATTTCCAACACAAGCTCTTCCACTGGCCGGGAGTGTTGCCAGGATCCCAGCCAAAGACAGTAGACTCAGAGCAGCAATGACCACTCCATACCCTACCCTAGAAAAACCTGAGGCTAGTATGTGGGCTGGGGGACCTGCCTCCCTGCCAGGGGGTGGAGTCTGGCTGGCCCAGGATCCTTGGTGGTGGGGTCTGGCCTGTCCCCACCCCAGCCCTGAGCCTCCTGGCCCAAGTTCAGGCCCTCCGCCCTTCTTGGCGGGCAGCCTCTTTCTGGCTGGCTGTTCCAGGTCAGAGCAGAGAGGGCTCCCCCCAAGCCCCCTCCTCGCCTCGTCCCCCTACAAGCCCTGCACAAAAGCAGCCCCACGCCCCCCCATAGCCCACAGCCCCCAAGTTGCTTTCCCCACGGGACCTTGCCTGTTCCTTTCATGTTCCCGCTGCGGGGTGGGGGGTGGGGGGGACCTCCCCTTCCACTGCCGCAGACAGCTGCTTGTCAGACGGCCCCTCAAGCATGGCTGTGGTCCGGCCTGCTGGCCCCCCTCCGAGGGGGCTGAGGGGCACTTCAAGGGGAAAGCACAGCTTTGCCACCTTCCCCAGTCCTGGATGGGGCCTCAGCCAGGCCATAAACGCCCGGCCAGCCGCACCATTGTGCTAATTCCCCTTCCAGAACAGGTTGGACCCACCCCCAGCCCCCTCCCAGCCAGGCTGGGGGCTTTTTTCTTGCTCTCCCTGGATGTGTGAAGCAAAAGGCCTGGAACGGGGGCTGCAGCAAAAGGGGGAATGAAAAGGGGGGGTTGTCTCTCTCTCTCCCACCCCCCCACTGCTTCAAAGGCAGCCCTTTTCCCTCTCCCAGAGAAAAGGCATTTACCTTCAAAAAAAGTCCCCACTGGATATGAAGAGAAGCGGGCCTCTGGCCTGGGAAAGCCAAGCGATCTCTCCCCAGAGCGGTTCTGGACCAGTGCATTTTAATAGCTGCACTTTTATGGAGGATCACAAAAAGGGACCGGCCCGCACAGGGGGCCGAGGCTCGGGGGAGGCTGCATGGGGGGAGAAGCAAACCCTGAATCTTGTCCCAAACCAACCTCGTTGGGCTTGACCTCATTGCCCTGTGGGTAAGGCGTCACCTTGCCCTGGCTGGGCATTCCGACTGCCCACATGCACCCCAGGCCGGCGACCCCCAGGACACCATGTTGGTGAGAGTATGGTGGTGAGAGGAACACAGTGGTTTTGCAAGGAAAACTGTCCTTTCAGGTACTTGCAAGTACAAGCCTCACCTGAGCCATCGCCTCCCTCCGCCCTCTCCCTGCCGCTCCCGGGTTCCATCCCTCCGCCTGGGCTGCCCCTTGCACTTAGCCTGGGGGAAGCCGGTGTGGGGAGAGAGAGAGAAGCAGAGACCCCAGGGGAAGTAGGGAGGGTTGCCGTCGAAGGGAAGATGGATAAAAACGTCAGTCAATCCCCAAATCTGCTATGGCCCCTTCTCCTACCCCCCTTCCAAGGACTGATCCCCCCAAACCTCAGAGACTTCTAGACCCAGGGAGAGGCCAGAACCTGCCTCTGTCCACCAAAAGGAGACTCCCCCTGCCTACCACCCCCATTGGGTGGGGTGGGAGAGATGGGGAAAAGCTAGTGCGGGCCGCTCACCTACCTGAGTTTGACAGCAGAGGATCAGAAGCTGCAAGCACCTGTGTGGGGAGAATAGGCAGACCCAGGTATGGGTGCCAGCAGCCAGCCAGGGGCGCACCCAGGCGCTGCCCCCGCCCCCGCCCACACCCCGCCCCACCCCGCCAGCCTTGTAGGAGTCCCGGTAAGATTAGGTCTGCCCTGAGGCTAGAACTGGCAACAAAACCGCAGTCCGGGAGGCAGCGCACTTACAGAGTGAGGTTGGGCAGCAGGCGGGTGGCTCCCATCCCGGAGAGATTTCTTGGGGCGGTTGCCCCCCTGCTCCCAAACTCAGGAGCAGATGTGGGCAGTCCCCAGGGTTAGAGTCCCAGAGAAGCCAAGGTCTCTTCAGCCACAGGTTTTCAGGGGGGAGAGGAGGAGAGAGAGGGGAGGAGGAGGAGGAGAGAGAAAAGAGCGGAGGAGGAGGAGGGGGAAGAGGGCGTAATTGGGAGACTGAGGTGTGAGGTGTCCACCTTCCTGGCCAGTGAGACTGCAAAACAGCCGCTGGTGGGGGCTGCCAGCCTCTTGCTGGGCTACTCAAGCACGGAGGATGGGGCTGCTGCAGCCTTCTCCATACAGAGGCCGGCCCCTGTGGTCTCCCTCAGTATTCCTGACCCCCACAGTCCAGACTGGAGGGCCCCTCCTCCTCTCTCAGGCCAGCTTCTCCTGCCCTCAGGTTTGGCGCCCCACCTCCCCAAGAGTGAGCCGCAGGTATCAGTCCGGCCTGGGGTCACTGGGTCTGGCTGGGGGTGGGGGTGGCAGGGGATTCCCAGAAGCAGCCTTGAAAGGAGGAGCTTCCCTGCAGGGGGCAGGAGGTGGGCTTGGCTAGGAGCCCCTGCTTCCCCTGCTTGTCACCCTCGAGATCCCCTATCTACTGCCTGACCACCGGGAGGAGGGATTAAGGCCATCCTGACCGGCAGTGGGTGCGACAGCTTGGGAGCCAGGGGTGGGGAGGAAGGTGCAGCTCAGGGCTGTGGAATGACCCTGATGAGGTCTCGAGAGCTAGCCTGAGATGAAGATACAGAAAAGCGGGATGTGCTGGTGAGGCCACTTTTCTCTGGGTCTCAGCAGTTTCCTCTGGGACAGGGACGTGATGCCTCAGGTTGCTGGAGGGTCACAGGAGATGACTGCGCTTGGCAGACGTCAAAAGTCTAATATACTCCGGGCCTTACTCGCTGTCGTCCAGGGCAGAAGCCATCCAGAGGCTCTCAGAGCTGAGGAGCTCAGGGCGTCCCCAGTCCCTGCGTCCCCTAGCAGTGGCCTGGGATGAAGTGCCCACCAGCCTCTTCACGTGGCCTCTGGCTCCACACTCTCTGTAAGGCCAGTTATTACCCCATTCTGCAGACCAGGAAACTGAGGCACATTGGTAGGTAATTAGCTCAGAATGACCCAGCCAGTGAATGGCATAACCAGGGTTCCAAAGTTCACGCTCTTTTTCTCCCACATGGATTTGTCTGGAGCCTTTCCACTGTGTCCACACCCTCCAAGCCCAGCAACAGTTGAGGTCCTGGGAGCTGGTGACCAGGGACTCTACCCTGTTCCTTCCCTATAGAAGGGGGATGGCGGTGACTGTGGAACGGGGCTAGTGCTTAGGGGGGATCTCGGAGGGAAGCCCCCATCTAGGGAAGCGGAGCTCACACCCCAGCCCTGGGCTCCCTGGAGGTCTCAGTGCCCCCAGGATGGAGGAGTAGGGGGAGATGCTGGCTGTGGATTTAGTTACCTGAAGAGATGAGTAGGAGGGCGAAACTCTCACCTCCAGGCCTCCTTCTCACCCTCCTGAGCTACGTCAATCCACAAAGGTGTCTGCCACCTGCCCACCACCTCCACAGGCACATGACTCCTGCCCCCAGTCCAACACCTGGCTCCAGGCTCCACCCCCAGGCACCCCCCAAGGTGGGGGTGGGGGCACTGGAGCCTGCACTGGCCTGTGGAGCGTCGCAGCCCTGTAACTGGGGGAGTCCAGGGCTGGAATCGAACAGAAAGAATGTCAAAGCTGGAAGGGATCTTAGAGATTCCTCATCAGGTCCAGCCTCCCCGTTCACAGGTGAGGCCCAGAGAGGGTGGCACAGCTACTTCGTGGCATGGCTGGGACAAGGTACCAGGTGCCCAGACTCCCGGTCCAGTGCTCGCTGTTCTCTGAACGCGCCCCAGCTTGTCCCACCTCTCCGCTTTTGCCTGGCTGGTCCTCCTGATCATCTCCACTTCCCACATTCGCCCACCATTTGGGGCTGATTTAAGCTCTTCCTCTTCTCTGGAAGCTTCCCCGAATCTACCTCTCCGCCGTGACGGGGGCTCGTTCTGGCTCTCTTCTCTGGGAAGCTTTGGCCTCACGCCCACATCCCCACCAGCCCCCAGCTCCCAGGCAGGGTACTAAAGGCTGTCTCCTCCTGCCCTCAATCCCAGGGACAAAGAAGAGCAGAGAGGCATGGAGGAGACAGCTCAGGCTTGGGGTTCCGGGGTGGAGGGGTCAGCTGGGGCACGCAAGGCAATAAGGAGAGGCAGGTGTGGGGAGTGCCACCTAGTGTTGTCTGGGCTCAAGGCCTCTGAACTGGAGCAGGCCTGGTTCCCATCAGTGGGGGAAGGGCCTGCTGTCACTGGCCAGCCCCCAGCCCAGCCTGGGTCTCTATGGTAACAGATGCCAGCAGTCAAGCTTGGCCTTGAGGCCAGCCAGCAAACTGGTGGCAGAGGGCTCGGGGGCACAGCTGGGTAGCCTGTCTCCTGGTGCAGGTGGCATCTTGTGCTCCTTACCCCTTCCCATTCCGCACCTGCAGGCCTGGCTTTCTGACTCGGTTTGCTCCTTGACGCCCATGGGAAGGCCAGTGAGGGGCTCCAGCTGGGGAGACAGCATGGAGGGTGTTCCAGCTTGGATTCTGGATTTCATCCCCATGCCCTGGCCCTCACAGGCCTTGGACCTGTGGCAAGTCCCTTCACTTCTCTGGTCTCAGTTTCCCAATTCATAAGGAAATGGCTACTACGAATGCTGTCAAAACTGCCACCATTTGTGGGGCTGGCCGGGTGGCGCAGCGGTTAAGTTCACACATTCCGCTTCTCAGCGGCCTGGGGTTCGCTGGTTCAGATCCCGGGTGTGGACATAGCACTGCTTGGCACGCCATGCTGTGGTAGGCGTCCCATGTATAAAGTAGAGGAAGATGGGCATGGATGTTAGGTCAGGGCCAGGCTTCCTCGGCAAAAAGAGGAGGACTGGCAGTAGTTAGCTCAGGGCTAATCTTCCTCAAAAAAAAAAAAAAAAAAACCTGCCACCATGAGTGTCAGTTGAGATGAAGGACACTCCCGGGAAAGTATCAAGTGCCACAAGAACAGAGCACGGAGGCATAAACCCTCTTAGGTAGGCCAGACTCAGTTTACCTAATCTTTGACTTTCTCCTTTGACTAGAGGGAGCTGGGAAGGGGCAGAAGGGTAGGGTTCATTAACATTTATGGGGAGGTGGCAGGAGGTGATAAGGGAAGTGTGAAGTAGCCACTCCCCAGTGCCAGGTTCAACCCCTCCAGCTGGGGCGTCTCACACCTGCCCCTCCTAACAGCCCAGCTGGTGCAGACACAGCCCACAGAGCCCACCTGCAGACCTGCCACTTGTCACCACCTGCTTCGATCCCAGCCCACGGTTTCCTGCTAAGCAACAGAAGGGCTAGGGCTGGGGAAGGGGAGGGCAGAGGGCAACGCGGCCATGCAGACAGACCCCATCTTTGCTGTTTGATCCCTACTGCCTGCCAGCACATGGAAGTCAAACTACCATGGGTTTAGCTACTGAGTGCCCTTACGTGCAGCCCACGGCTGAGCCAAGGACCTGGGGCACTGCCCGGGGCTGGTAAGGGAAGAGGGGCCTGTGGAGTGCGTGCTCTGCTACAACCAGGCTGTGGCGCTGCCCCTCCGGGCACTCCGGCCCACGGTGGAGTCAGTTCTAACTCCTGCCTCAGTTTACCAGACTTCCTAGCTCTCTGGTGCTGCTTCTCTCCCTCTCGCCCATAAAGTGGTTAAAAACAAGGGCTCTGGGGAGGAACCTGGCCCCTCCACCAGCTGTGTGCCCTTGGGGACAAGCTGTTTAACCTCTCTGTGCCTCACTTTGCACATCGGAGTGATGGGGCTAATAACACCCACCTCACGGCACAGCTGAGAGGATTGAAGGAGTGAGTCCACGGAAGGGATGGAGCAGCCCCAGCTGAGAGCTGTTATCACTACAATCCTATCAGCCTTCTTTCTGTCCAAACCTCCCAGCTTGGTCTGCCTCAGGCCCTTCGCACTCTCTGCTCCTGCTCCTAGAAATGTCCTTCCAGCTCCTCATGTGCCCACCACCCACTTCTTGTCGACACCTTCTCCAAGGGCCTTCTCCAATCTCCCAGCTGAACACATTTTCCCACCCTGGCGGTTAGCCAGTTTGCCTCCTCCAGAGCGCTTGTCAGTAACCAAAATTCCTTGTTGGCTTTGGTGTCTCCACGACACTGTAGGCGACTTGAAGGTGAGGAATTTGTCTTGTCCACCCTGTATCGTGTGGCGTGAAGCCATGGTAAATGACAGCTGCCTACCTGGAGCCAGACCTGAACTGATGTGCCTCGTCACTCTCCAGGTGACCTGAGGTCAGTAGTTCTCATTTCTAGAGGTGGGACAACAGCCACCTCTGTCTCATGGGGTGTAGAAGCAAGCAGCCACGCCAGCCCTGCCCCCCTCTCCCTCTTCTGGCATCGAGAGAGGGTGATGCTGAACAGGGAGACTCAGGCCTGGTTGCTGACCTTCCCATGCAGGTGTTCAAAGACCTCCCAACCTTCTGGGACCCATACCTGGGGGTCCTCAGGAGAGAGGGCAGGGCCAGCTCCCCATTGGCCCACTTCAGGCCTGGCCAGTGGGAGTGCAGGGAGAAGGCTGGCAGAGGCCCTGCAAGCATAACCCCAAGTGGGGGCCATCTGTGTGTCCCCATGGGTGAACCTGGCTCCACAGGGGCTCTGCAGGCCTGGGAGAGGGCAGGAGGCCAGAGCCGTGGGTCATTCACTCCTTCCCAACCCTCTACTGGCCTCACCCCAACAGCTTCCTGAGCCCTGTTGGTGTGGCTCTGAGTTGCCTTGGGGGAGCCGTAGCACCGGAGGTGAAAGTGTTCACCTGTTGGCCTCCTGTAAGAGACCCTCCAGTCTCCAGACAGCCTGCCTCTCCTCCCCACCTTGGGAGGGTTTCCTTGAAGGGGCGGGCATCTGGGCTCCTGCCTGACACAGATCTTCACGCAAGCGAGGTCCTTGTGAGCAGGAGCTCACCGGAACAGGATGCCAGCCTGGCAAAGTTCCCATAGACTCAGACCCTCAGGCTGGTCCGCAGGGCCCGGGCCCTTCCTGGGTGGCGGCGGGGCGGGGGCCGCTGTAGTCCTTCAGTTCTGTACCTGGATTACCTGGAAATCCAGGCCCTGCCAGAAAGGAGTGTGGATGCAGGAAGACCCACACCAGCTCCAGCTCCCTCCCTCAGGCCCGAGGACAGAAGGTGGAAGCTGGGCAAGGGGCTGAGCTACTTGGTTCTCCCCCACCCCACACCTCCCGACACACACCGGGGGTGGGAGGAGTGCGGGCTGGGGGGTGGTGCCAGGAGAAGAGAGGGAGATAAAGAGCAGAGCAGGACAGGCTGCCTGGCTGGGACACCACAGCCTGAGTCTGGGGCCGGCTGAGCCACCAGGTGGGCTGTACTGGCACATGGCTGCCCTCTGGTGGGCATACCGGGTTCACTGCAGCCAGCAGGAAGGACAGCTCCTGGGAAGAGACTCGGAAACCTGGTCCTGGCAAAGCAAACTTTATTGAGGCCCTGAGGTCAGGCTCTTCCCTCCAGGTCCTGCTGAACCGGAGAGCTGGGGTGAGGGGTGGCTGTGTTGCCTCCCAACCCCTCCATCACACTCAGACTCAGACGGAAGGTGGGGGGGTGCCCTGGGTCCGCAGCACACCTGAGGAAGCCCACTCGCATGGTGGTCTCACTGCGGCCAGGCCACTCCTGGCTCCTCATTTCCTGGATCCTGGCTTTTTAGGTCTGAGCGTGGCTTTGGCCTATGGAGAGACGGGAGGGTTCCAGTGTCCCACTGCCTCCCTATCCTGGCCCCTTTCCCAAGACTGCCTCCCTCTCCCAGGAAGACCAGCCCTTCTTCTCAGTACTCACCTTTCCCACAGGGCTTTTTTCTTGAAGACCGGGTCTGGAATAGGGGTGGGGTTGGGCAAGGAGCAGGGCGGGTAGGAAAGAGGGAGAGCTCAGCCTGACGCCAGGAACCGGGCCTTCCTCGCCCCCACCCTGGAAAGCTGGGCCCTGGGTACTTTGGGAAGCAGGGAGCTATGACCTGGAGAAATGGAGGGTGCCGGTTCGCCCCTCCCCCTGTCACCTGCCAGGGACCACTCTGCCTCTTTCTCTTTTGAAATAAGATATTTTTTCTTTGGCTTCCATCTGCTTGCTTTTATTTGTGTATAAGACACAAATATTTCTTTCTCATTGTAAAATTAATGTTAACACATTGCACAAAATATAGCAAATATAGAAAAGAATTACTTATAATTTTCTTTACCTCCCACCAATATTAACATTTTGGTGCCTTTCCTTACAGGACTTTGTTTTCTTCTAAAAACATGTGAAATAAAATGAAAATGATTTAATATCCTATTCTTTTCAATTTTATGAACACTTTCCAGGTTGCTCTGTTCTTCAAAGGCATTATGTAACATTCCATTGAGAAGATGTGACATAGTTCAATCAACTATTATATTGGTAGATATTTAGAATGCTTCCATTTTCACTATTATTTGAATAATCCAGTGGTAAGTTTCTTGCTACATATGATTTTCCCTCTATTTTGGATGGGATTCCTTGAAAGGAATTGCTGAAGTGGAATTAAGTCAGAACATAAGAACAGTTTAATGCTTTTCAAAAAGGCTGTGCCGGCCTACAATGGCAGCACAGCTGTGTCCCCTTGTACACATACCTGTTTGCACACATGCACATAGGCCAGGTGTACCTACTCTTTTTAGCAGTATACATCTTACCTAAAGGATTTTGGCTGAGTTAATAGAAGGGGAAAGAGTTACCTCACTGCCTCCTCTTCTTTGTCCACTTTTTTTTTCTGGGAACCAAACACAAGTGTTATTGGGAGAGTTCGGGCCAGGCCCAGGGCCAGAGCAGACTCCCGCTGAGCAGCCGGCAGGAGGCAGGGCCTTGGCTCATCCTGCGCCCTCAACTCAGGAAGCCGGGCCCAGGTTTCTGAGGAGCCTGGGAGGGCCTCCCCTCACCTTGGCAACGCTCGTCTGCTTCTGGGGCACCAGCCTCTTGATGTGTTTGACAGGGGTCTCCTCCTCCAGGGACGCGTCACCATTGTCATCGTCATCATCCTCGTCATCATCGTCGTTGTCACCCTCCTCCTCCTCCTCCTCCAGCTCCTCCTCCTCCCAGGATAGGTCTGAAGTGTCTGTGAGAGAGTCACAGCATGAGAAAGGGAGCCTGGCCTCTGAGTGACAGAGCCTCTGCCTGGCTCCTGTTCCACGATCTGTCTCGCTCCAAGAGCGGCCCTGGGGAAGTCTGAGCACCGAAGGTGAAGGTGTTCACCTGCCCACCTCCTGGAGACCCTTTCTGGTCTCCCTGACAAAGTGGAGGCCAGGGTGGGGGGAGGGCTCTGGGACAGCTCCAGAGGGCTGAGGGTGGGGAAGGAGGGCAGGAAAGTGGCAAGCTGGAGGGAAGTGGCTGAGCGAGAGGAGGAGTCACACTGGGAAGGAGTGGGGGACAAGGTGAGGGAGGGCGGGGTGTGTGAGGGAGGAGGGAGAGAGTGGGGAGGAACCTGAAACAGCAGCTAAGGAATTCAGACCTTGTCCTAAGGGAAGTGGACACTACCAGGGGTTTGGGGCGGGAGACTACCCTCATGAGAGAGGCACAACTGGACAGAGAAGGGGCCTCCTAAAGGGTATTGGAAGAGTCAACAGCCCAGGGACTTGGTAGGACCTGTTACCGCCGCAGCTGCATGCTTCACAGCACCTACCATCTTAAGCACACACTAGTACGAGGCGTTATGTTCCTGCTTTTCCTGAGCATCCCATTTATTCCTCATGATTTCTCTTTGAGGATGAAACCAACTATATCCCCACACTCGTGTTATAGGCAACGGGGCTGCGGCATACAGAGGACATGGCAGGAAGGTAAAGGAGAGCTGGGATGAGGACCTGTGCCTGTGGCCTTCCAGTCCAGGCTACTGGCAACCATGCTGCCTCTGGGGATTTTCTTGAATAATTCAGGAATCCCTCAAGTGTTTGAGTACCTATTATATCCTTGGCCCTGTGCTAAGCACTGTACTTTCCAACGTGTTTCAGGTCCAAGCTTGGATTTACCATAACATTCCTGGCCACTGAGGAACACAGGTCCAGAGCCATTCCGGAGCCGAAAAGTGACTGGAGGAGAAAGCTCCAATCCCATCAGGACAGCCTGCAGGGAGAGGGATATGGGGGCGGGGGCAGGGACAACAGGGTTACTCAGGTCTGGCACCTGGCTGGGGCTGGCCTCCCGCAGAGCACTCAGAATTTGTCCCCAAACCCCAACACACACTCCACACTTCTCTGGACCTCACTGTGCGCTCAGCCCCTGGACCTTCCTGCTGAGCTGCACTCTGTGGGAGAAGGAGGTGAAGCTCATCATCTCATTCTTGCTAAGATCATAGATGGGCTTCCAGGCTGACGGGCATCTGTTAAATAGAGAAGTCTGCTTCCTACAGACTAAATTGGGTCCCCTGATTTTTATGTTGAACCCTAACCCCCAATGTGATGGTATCTGGAGGTGGGGCCTTGGAGAGGTGATTAGGATGAGAGGAGGCCATGAAGGTGGGGCTCCCATGATGGGATTAGTGCCTTTATAAGAAGAGACACCAAGAGAGCTTGCTCGCTCACTCTCCCTGCCAGGTGAGGACACAGAGATGGCAGCCATCTGCAAGCCTGGATGAGGGCCCTCCCCAAAACCTGACCCTGCAGGCATCCTGATCACAGCCTCCAGAGCTGTGGGAAAATAAAGGTCTGTTGTCTGAGCCCCTTGTTCTGTGGTCTTTTGTTATGGCAGCCAAGACACTGACCAGTGGAGAAGCAGAGGCAGAGCTGCCCGTGCACTGCTCTGTCTCATAAAGAATGTGCGAACGTACACATGCAGAAGCCTTAGAGATGGATTAAAGCATGATTTTCAGTGGATAGTATTTATTTTCTTTAGAAAATCTGGCAACTTTGGGAAAGTATAGAGTAACAACCATGGTACTCATATTTCTTGAATTCCTGGTACGTGCCAGGCTCCACTACTAAGCGTTTAACCTGCCTTATCTCATTAAAATGCTCACAATGAGCCCCTGAAGGAGGTGCTATTACTTTGCAGAGGAGGAAACTGAGGCTTAGAGAGATTAATTTAGCTTCTGGTCCAGACAGGAAGCAGATAAGCAAAAACTGAAACTCTGCAGCTGCAAACACCTAGAATGGTGGATAAAATGTAATCCAATGTTTTTACCACATGGCTGAGTAGTAAGACAGAAAGAGTCGTCCCCATGCATCAGAAATGAAGAGTGGCGTGTGCAAGAGCTGCTGCTGCAGCAGCTGAAGGGAACGGACTGGAAAACAGTGTGGGCTTTGGGTCTGAATACTCATGTGTGGCCAGGAGACAAGGCCTTGGGCACAAGAGAGGAGAGCTGTAGTGGAGTCCACTACATGGAGGGGAACCTTCAGAGGGCTGCCCCAGGGAGCGCTGGGGAGAGCAGTGAAGAACCCCTAACTGACAAAGTAGGAAACACGGGATAAAAGAAGTCTGCTGTGCGATTCTAAACCCACAGCCATACCTCTCACTTAGACGAAATCTGGATTTACTTGGTAGGCACTGACAAGCCAAAAATTCTGTACAAAATCCCAGGCTTGTGACATTCCTGGGGCAAATGGCAGATACAAACACAAAACCACTCTCTTGAGACACCCTCAATTCTTTTCACATAGAATTCTTTCACAAAACCAAACCTGAAGAAGAGCTCACCACCTAAAATTACAAAACATGCAAGAAAGAATCCTGCTAGAGTCAGCAGACAGAAACAAAGTGACTACAGCCCAGCACAACCTAGAGCCTGGGTTGAGAGAGGAACAATCCAGACAGCTAGGAAATATGTATGATTAAAACCAAATAAATATAGAAGTAGGCAGCAGAAATACAAGAGCAAGATATTATGAAAAATAAAAACAAATGCAACTTCTAGACATGAAAAATATAAGCATTGAAATAAACTGAACAAATGGCTAAAAAGTAGAATAAACCAGCTGATGCAAGAATTAATGAACTGGAATAGTGTTGTGAAGGAATTACCCAGTATGTAGCACAGAGAGCTAGATTAACAAAACAGGAAAGAAGCTGAGACACAGAGGACAGGACGGGAAGATCCAACATGCGTCTAATTGGAGTAAAGGTACCAGAGAAAATGGAGTCAATATTCAAAGCGATAACCAAGAGTTTTCCAGAAATGTTCAAAGACACAGATCCTCATTTCCAGGAAACCTAAGTCCTGAACAAATAAAAATAAACCTACACCTGAGGATACCGTGGTGGAGTGGTGGGTAACAAGAACAAAGAGATCACTTCAAAATAAACCAGAGAGGAAAGACAGCATTTCCGAAAAACGAACAAGAACCAGACAGACTTCAGGTTTCAACAGCAACATCAGAAACTGGAAGAAGAGAATGACATCTTCAAAGTTTTGAGGGAAGTTACCTCTCGCTCTAGAAGCACAGCCAAACTGTCATGAAGGAATGAGGATAAAATAATTTCTGGCAAAGCCCAAGCAGGTTTACGACTCCCAGACAGTCTGAGAGATGGTCCAAAAAGATGGGAGTGAAACTGAGAGGGGAGAAGGGGGCACAAGGAGCAGCGTGAGCACACCGAGTGGAAGCAGAGAAACCCTGGCGAGCACGGCTGTAACGTGAGGTCGTGCCAGGGACGACGCATGCTGAGCGCGCACAACAAGCCGGAGCAAAAACACTACATGATAACAACTTTGAAGTTAAGCAGCAGGTAACTAGAAAAGCTCCCTGGATTGTTTCGGAGGAATAAAATTAATTTTAGACTTTGATCATGCATAATTGTTAACAAATTAAGGAGAAACAATAAAGATTAGAATGGGATTCTATAGCTTCCAAATCAGCAGAAAAAAGGAGAAAAGAAACGTTAACTAATCTCGTAAAAGATATGAAAAGGAGAAAAAAAGGATCAAAAAATAAAAAGCAAGAAAAGCCGAAGTATAAAGTCCACACGACAAGTCAACCCAAGTGCGTCAGCAACCACAGTCAGTACACACAGACTCTGCTGCCGGAGCAGGGAAAACAAAGTCCATCCACATGCTGCTTACAGGACACACACCTACACACGAGAACACGGGACTGTTGAAGCAAGAGATGGAAACACGCATACCAGAGGTCTCAGAAGCTCCCAGTTGCTTATCGAACATCCATTCTTCCCTTCTTCCATCAAAACAGCAACCTGATGTTATTCAAATATTGTACCCAGCCAAAGACTGTATTCCCCAGTTTCCTTCACAATTAGCTGTGACTGTGTTACTAACGTCTGGATCAATGAGTTGTAAGCAGAATCTCGGGGTGGTACTTGTGTGAATACTCCTTAAAAGGTGGACAAAAAACTGAGAAAAGCCTCCTTGGTCTTCCCTTGCTGCTTCTTTCTTATTACTGTAAATGTGGAAGTGTAGGCTGGAGCTGCAGCAGCCTTCCCGGACCTTAGAGTGATCGTGAGGATGGAGCTCTGCACCAAGGGTAGGAGAAAGATAAGAGGAGACTTGGTCTTTGTGACCACTGAGCCTCCTCACCAGCCCTGGACTACCCATCTCTGGACTCCTATGCAAGAGAGAACTAAATCTCAAAGTTGTTTAAGCCCCTGTAGCTGGGTCTCTGCTACTGCAGCCATACATAATTACAATAAAAATGAAGCTAATTGCACTATCTGGTGAGTGACTCTTTTTTTTTGGCAAGGAAGATTGGTCCTAAGCTAACATCTGTTGCCAATCTTCCTCTATTTTATGTGGGATGCCGCCAGAGTGGCCTGGCAAGTGGCGCTAGGTCCAGGATCCGAACCCACAAACCCCTGGCCTCCGAAGTAGATTGTAAACCTACCCACTACACTGTGAGGCTGGCCCCTAGTGGGTGACATTGCTAAGGGGGGAGGCTATGTATGTGTGGGGCAGATAGGATATGGGAAGTCTCTGTACCTTCCTCTCAGTTTTATTGTAAACCTAAAACTGCTCTAAAAAAACAAGTCCTTAAAAAAATGAAGCTGACTGTATTTGTTAGGATTAGGTTTGGTACCAAGTGGCAGAAGATCCAGTAACAGTGGCTTACACAAGGTAGAAATTTGTTTCTTTGTCACACAAACTAAGTCCAGACATCTGCTGTCAGCTGCAGGTGCACTGCCCCGCAGCACTAGGGACCCAGGCTCTCTGTGCCTTGTTGCTCCCCCGTCCTCGACACCTGGCTCCCACCTCGTGGTCAAGGAGGGCTGTTCAGGTTCTAGCCATCACTGTCCACATCCCAGCAGGGAGGCGGAGGGACAAACACGCTCACATGTTCTCTCTTTAAGGACACTTTGTGGATGTTGGAGATACTACTTCTGCTCACAGTCCATTGGCCAGAACGTCACACCACGCCTAACTCTGAGGGAATATAGTTTTTATTCTCAGTAGCCTGTGGCCAGCTAAAAGTCATGAATTTCATTACTAAAGAATAAAAGAGGGGCCAGCCCCATGGCTGAGTGGTTAAGTTCGCACCCTCTGCTTTGGCGGCCCAGGGTTTCGCCGGTTCAGATCCTGGGCATGGACATGGCACCACTGATCAGGCCATGCTGAGGCAGCGTCCCACATGCCACAACTAGAAGGACCCACAACTAAGAATACACAACTATGTACCTGGGGGCTTTGGGGAGAAAAAGGAAAAAAATAAAAATCTTAAAAAAAAAAAAAAAAAAAAGAGCTCCAAACTGGAATCAGCCCAGTTTTCCCACAGATGAATGGCTGAACTATGGTACATCTATACCATGGAATTCTATTCAGCAATAAAAAGAATACACACAACTCGGATGAATCTTCAGGGAATTATGCTGAGTGAAAAAAAAAGCCATTTCCGAAAAAGGTACATACATATGATTCTAATTCTATGACCAAATTTTAGAATTGGAGGACAGATTGGTGGTTGCCAGGGGTTAGGGGTCGGGGAGGGAGGCGGGTGTCATTATAAAAGAGCGACAGAGGGATCTCTGTGCTGTTTGAAGTGTTCAGTATCTTTGCTGTGATGGTGGATATATGAATTTAGGTGATAAATTGTATAGAACAAGATTCCTGGGTTGTATCAATGATAATATCCTGGTTTTGATACTACAGTTTTGCAAAATGTTACCATTGGGGAAAACTGGGCAAA